TTATTTATACTGCAGTCCTGATACCTTAGCATAAAGTACATGCTCAATAGGTATTTACTGACCAAAGTTTTCTTTTCCATGGCCTGTTATTTAGCAGACTAACACAAGTACTTCCATCTGTAAAAGAAATGGAAAAATCTAAGACAATTTTTTTATGTGTTAAAAATTCTGGCAAAAAAATTTATTGGGAGAAAATTAGAAGCAAGAGGCTAAACTTTATAAATTATGATTTTCAATTATACATACCTGTGTACTTCTAGACAGTTATAGCAGGGATACAAACCTACTTTATGCAAATTATTAAATTATTGATCAGTGTCATTTTCAAAAATAGCTCACTACTGAGACACTTATAAACCTTCTACAGATAAATAGGACACTTAATGTACATGACAATGAGAGCATGTCTTACTTTGGAAATATTATTTAACACTGTCTTGTCACAAATATGCTTTAGTCCATAAAGAACTGCAGCCAGTTTTATATGAATTGGACTTCAACATCATAAAAAAATCTGAAGAGCTTTGCTTGCTGCTGATAACGGTGGTTTATAATTCAGCAGACTGTCTCATGGCTCTGGAAGTCACCCAAGAAACCACCACATGAGCTGAAAAATGAAGAGGAAACATAGGAGATATGTTTCCTAAAAATGTGGGTTTTGAGAGAAGCCAGTAATTATACACTGGACCCTTGACTTACGAACTCAATTTGTTCACGAGAGATAGTTGTAATTCAAGTTGGTCAGACTCCTTTACACAGCCTTAAGTCTCTCCTATATAATTATAGACCACACTTTCTTCCAGGCAGATCTTAGTGTCCTTAGAGATATTGGCCCACAATTTCTCAATTAATCCCACACAGAAAAGGGTGCTGTAATGTTCCAGAACCCTTCAAGGGTTAAATCTAACAGCATGTGGAAGCATGCTGGCATTTGGTTCATAACTTATGACTTTGGTTTTAAGTTAAAACTAAAATGCCGGTTGTAACCCAAGCTGTTTGTATGTCAGACCAGTAGTGACTAACTCAAGGGTCTACTGTATGTTGAAAAAATGTAAATGCTCACATTAATTATACTGTTATATGACATAACTCATTTTATTTGGTGTTATTAATTAGGACCCTATACTGATGAATTTTAACAGGCACACCTCCCAGAAATGGACAGGAACTACTCACATGTTTAAAATTATTGGTGAAAATAAGAAATCACAGAAAAGATAATACAGTATTAATGGATAATGTAAAGTGTATTGCAGAAGAGCACTGACAATTTTTTTTATTTCCTCATAAACGTCATATAATCTGTGTTTCTATTGTGAGAAACTCATAACAGATAACACTATCTTGAATTCTACTAAACACATTATACTAAAAAGTCTTGTCTAATTTTTCACACTTTTTGTTGTTGTTGTTGTTTTGTTTTTTTTTTTTGGTACTGGGGATTGAACTCAGGTCCTTGTGCTTGCAAGGAAAGTGGCGGAGCCACTGAGCTACCCTGGCCCGTGTCACACTTTTTTGAAAAACAGCTTAATTACATGCTTCTTAAAAATTAAGCAAAAATAAAAATGGATAGATACATATTGAGGATATACTCCGAAGTGAAATAAGTAAGTCACACATGTAAATACCGAATAGTTTCTCTGGTGTGAAAAACTATAACAGTACACAAGATCCTAATGGGATAATTAACAATGTGAAATAGGAAGAAAAGGGCTAAAGGTGTAGGGAAAGTGGCAAGGGTAGGAGAAAGGGAATAAGGGAAAAGAAAAAACTATGAGAAAAGGATAAAATGGAAATAAAGTGTTCATAAATGGGGAGGGAAAGTGGGGGTGAAGGGAGGGCAGGGACAAGGGGAAAAAAATGAGAACCAAGACCTGTCATGTAAATACAAGATCCTACAAGATCCCAGTAATGAATGTAACTGTACTGTATACCTAAAATGTACCAATAAACTCAATAAAAAGGGAAAATAATTAAGCAAAAATAATTTTGAAAGAAGGTCTGGGGGAATATTTTCCTTCATGTACTTTCACAGAAAGAAAAACTTGCTACAAAATTTAGTGAATAAAATAAGCCAACTCTTACTTGACATAACTAAGAATGAGATTTAGAATCAGACAAACTTTCCCAAACACCTTAGATAAAGCAATGGCAATTATTTTATTTTAAAAATCCTGCCTAGAGGAATGCCTTAAGGGTAAAATCTAATGTGAAACAAGCAAAGGAACAATGATTATAAGGGTGTACCAGTGAGAAGGCAATGGAAATGTAAATATACTTTCCTCAGAAGATACTGGAAGAACTTTCCTGAACATTTGAGGAAGAAAAATATAAGCCCCTGTCCTATTATTCAGAGAACCCTTCCAGCTTGGTTGCTGAGACAGATTTGCTATTTATATTAACCTTTTACATTTAGACTGCTACAGCGAAATAAAACTATGCATGCTTTTTCTTTTATTGTATGTTTCAATATTACATGGTTTTTTATTAAAAGCTCTTTAATTTGGGAATATTTTTAATGATTGCACTTTTCCTATGGCAATTTAGGTAATCTGTGTAATTTTTTTACCTAAATGGTTGAAATATTTATTTAGTTCTTTAGAAAGGCCTTTATTTTACATTTAGTTTAGTTTTTTTCTTCAGAAGAATCCTAGCTTTCCAAGATCTTAATACTCTGCTGCTGTGTACACTCAAGTCTCAATCTATAGTACTGACAACTGGAGAGACCTGCACTTAAAAATGTCAGACTTAAAAATTATTTCTTCTGAGCTGGGCATGGTGGCACATGCCTGTAATCCCAGTACTTGGGAGGCTGAGGCAGGAGGATCGCTGTGAGTTTGAGACCAGCCTGGGCTACATAGTGAGTTCCAGGTCAGTCTCAAATAAACAAACAAACAAAAAACCAACCCAAAAAACAATAAACAAAGAACTTGTTTTAAAATGACTTGCTTTGATAACAGCATTCTGTAGGTATTTTGTGAGCGTGTTTGGCATATGTACAGTGGAATTTGACTTTTGAGCTCAGTGTATTCATGGGGGGCTGGTTGTAACTCAAGTTATTTTTTAAGTCAAGACTTTTCCCCATAAGAAACAGTGGAAATACCCATAATGCCTTCCCAACCTCCCAAAGCACTCCTTAACTAACCTTTTCACAGTAAAAAAGCGTTGTATAATGTGCTTCATTTACCAGAAACACCAATAATTTTCCTAGTGTGTCCAACAAAGTTATAAAGTGTGCCTCGTTTACCAGAAACAACAATTTCATAGTGTACTCACCATTCAAGTTGACATCTTCGGCTTGCAGGAAGGGAGATGAAATGGAAGGTGGTGACTGTTCAGGAGGAGAGTCCCCTTCCAGGAGAACATCAGGAATCTGGCTCTCTGGTGTCCTTTCCTTGGGAGACGATGTAGTCCCCTAGGACCTGCTTCTGTCTCACTAGGTCTCGGTCTTTTCAGAAGTAAAAGCAGGTCTATGGCTGTCTGTTTTCTCTTTTCTGTCACACTGTTCTGTACTACGACAGAACATTGTCATTAAGGAAATGCAGTGGTTGGCTTTGTCTCTGCCTGGGTGTGTCTTCTCTACTAACGTCTGTAGCTGTGCCCATTTTTTCAGGCTTTCCTCTCTTTCAGAAGAAGAGCTTTGCTGCCCTGCCTGTTGATGCTCCCCCTCCTCTTCAGAAAGCTCCTCGGCTGCCATTCTCTGATGCTCAGCCAGGAGTTGCTGAAGTTTCTCTGTGGACAGCTCCTCTGAGTGTTTCTCCGCCAGTTCCTGAACATCACCACTGTGTACCTGCAAGCCCGCGGACTCTGCTACAGTGACAGGGTCAACTGAATGCCCAGGCTCCTCTGCACAGCTTTCGAGATCTCTCTCCTACATAATTTTAGGCCACACTTTCTCCAGGTAGATCTCAGTGTCCTTAGTGAGGCACTGGCCCAGGATTTCTCAATTAACCCACAGAGGAAAGACTGACTCTTGGGTTGTAACTCAAGACTTTGGTGGTAAGTTAAAACAAATTCTGGTTGTAACCCAAGTTGTTTGTGAGGCCGGTTGTTACTTGAGGGTTCACTGTATATATATTTTATGTACTAGATTTTTAATGTACCTTACAGTCAGATGAGGGAAAGAGTCAAGGTTGCAAGTGAAAGGCTGTTAATGGACTCCTATTCTAAAGCCTGAGCCAGCAAACCTAACCCAGTAAGACTACACTCCTGCTGTGGGCACTGACAGCAATCTCTCTATATATATAAAGAGAATGGTCTCTGGTGGGAGGAGTTCTTAACTACAACAGTCTCCCTTTCTGGCCACCAAATAAATGGAGCACACTTTCTTCCTATATTGGATAACCTCAGGTTGTAAAAAAAGACCAAAGTTCCATCAAGTTACTTCATACGTAGATCCATTTTGTGTTGCTGTAACAGGATATCTGAGGCTATGTAATGGGAAAGAAAAGTTTATTTGGTTCATGATCATGGTGGCTGTTAGGTCCAAACAGCATGGCCCTGGCATATTGTGGCAGCCTCTTGTCTGCATCACAAAGTGGTGCAAAAGCAGAAGCTGGTACATGCAAAGAGACCCAAAGGACGTGCCAGTCTTGCTTTATGAGAACCTGCTCTTGCAGTAACTGACCCAGTCCCACAAGAGCAATAACTTACTCCTCAGAAAAGAACATTAATCTCTCTTTAAAACCCTACTATATTATTCTCCCACAATACTATTGCACATTGAGGTCAGGATAAGTACAATTGTGATTGGAATCCAATATGTCTCCTCAAAAGTATCATTATATTGAAGGCTTGGATGCTGTTGGGCTTTTAGGAAGTGATTGACTCATGAAGGCTCATCATCAATGGATTCGTCACAATTTGATGGCATTATTGGGTCAGAAACCACAGGTGGTGCCCCGCTGAAGGAAGTTAACCATAGGATTACTATATCTGCTCCCCAATGCTTTCCTTTTGGGCTCTTGCTGTCTCTCTCTCTCTCTCTCTCTGCTTCCTAGATGCCAGAAGCTGAGTACCTTTCCTCCACCATGTTTCTGCCTTACCACACTCCTAAAAGCAACAGAACCAAGTGACCATGGACTGAAACCTCTGAAACGATGAGCTGAAACAAACCTCTACTCCGTTGTTTTTCTCAGGTATTGAGTCACAGTAACAAAAGCTAACACATCTGCAATACAATAAGGACTGATGGTGTCACTGGTCAACAGCAAGTATGAAATCAAATGTGAGGCATTGTGAGTGTAGAGGTCTCTTTTCTGGAAGTTGTGGGGGATTTCCTTGATCAGACCTGATTCCATTTATTGGTGGAATTATTTTGTGTGTGTGGCCTCCAGCAGTTCTTCCATATTCATTCCCTCCCTTGGCCACTGCTACAAAAGGATATGCCCCAGTGTTTGTTCCTAATTTATCAAGTCTGGTTTACTAAGTTAGTATCTCACTACTAGACCTCTCTATCAATAGCAGCTTGAAATAATCAGATTAGAAAAGACAACTTTTTTTCATTTTTATTTATTGCATTTTTAAAATTATATTAATAGGATACATTTGCAATATATAATTAATCTTGGGGAATTGTTACACATACAAATTGCATCTTGATCATTTTTACAAATTTAATTCTTTGCTGCGGAATTTAATCTTGTTTGGCTTTCGGCATTCAGATCTTAATATCTGCTATGGTTCAGATCCAGAACGTCCCCCAAAGACCTGTGTGTTAAACACTTGGGCTTCAGCCTGAGGCACTACTGGGAGATGGTGGAACCTGTAAGCGTTGGAGCCTGGTAGGAGAAAGTTAGGTCATCTCTGCCCTTGGAGAGGAAATGTTGGGACCCCTTCCCATCTCTCTTTCGTGTTCCAGCCATGAAGTGGAAGGTTTGTTCTTTTGCATGCTGCCACCACGATGAACTGCCTCACCATGGTCCTGTCCGAAAGCAGCAGGACCAACTGACCATGAACTGAAACCTCTGAAAATGTGAGCCATACCAACTGTATTCCTCTTTTTAAGTTGATTACCACAGGTAAACTGCCACAATGACAGCTGACTGATACAATGTCTCTTATTGTTGACAGTTTAGTAGCAGATGATTCTCCAACCCTACTTCTCTAGTATCCTCAGCCCTGGAAAAGAGGCTGCTACCCTGGGCCCCACACTTCAGAGGCTCCCTCTGTCACTAGGGGTCTGATGTTCAGCGTTTGTACAGCACAACTTGTAACACAAAATATCAACAGACTATTAACACTCAAGAGAAACACTTCTCTACATCTCTTATGCATATACTATCAGAAAAAGTGATTCTACTGGTAGCCCTGAAGATCCTGTGGGCTGTGTTACTGCTGATGTCAGAGATGAACGCTTGTGTAGTCAGGAGATACTTAAGTGGTGGAAGTGTTCACATAAGAAAAAAGACACATGAACTTGTCAGCGTAAATGTGGGAGATCTTTGCACAACAAAGTATCATTTCCCAGCAAAGTCAAAATGCCCATTTTCTTCTTTTCCTGTTCCGATTTGTATTATTGTCAAAAGATGCATATGGTATCTAAGACAAATCTTGCAATATTAACAATTTGTATTACACCAGAGTTTGGATTTATCAGTTCTAGATGCATGTATATTGGCAACTAAATGGACATTAACTATAAAAAATAAGTATAATTCAAGATATTAAAATTATTTGTTTATTAATATTTTTTTTGGTACTGGGGATTGAACTCAGGACCTTGTACTTGTGAGGCAGGTGGCAGCACCACTGAGCTAAATCCCCAGCCCCTCTTAAACGATCCTTATACAAGCTCATTAATTAAATTTTTATTTTACCTTCTCATAGATACTCTTACATCATGAGGAAAACGTTTAAAAAATAATTTTAACATTTGGATTTTTAAATTTACTTTAATTTACATTTTGATAAAAATATATTTAAATTTACATATTTTGACTACATTGTTTTATCATTACTGTGAAGAAAACAAGTTTACATAATCATTTTTAGCATAGTGACCTTACTGAAATGAATATATATTCATGTCATAAATTTTATCTTAATTTTTCATTCATGTAAGAAAGTTGTTAACCCATCAAAGAACAGCCAAAGTATATATTATAAATATTAAATATTGTCGTCTTTGATAGTTCTCTAATTCTCAATCATTAACAATAGTTTTATATGGCTTTTTAATTTTGTCATTATATAAATGCATTTGCCAAGGTGAAAGAGTAGAATGTACTTTATTTAATAGTTTTTGTTGTGGTTTGGGTCATAAATGTTCCCCCAAAACTCATATGTTAAAAAGCTTGGTCGAAGGGCCAGGGATTTATCTCAGTGTTTTCACTGCCTGCCTCCCAAGCTCAAGGACCCGAGTTCAATCCCTAGTACCAAAAAATAAATAAATAAAATAAAAAGCTTGGTCCTAAAGAATAGAATAAAATAAAAGCTTGGTCCTCAACTGATTGCACTACTGGGAGGTGGCAGGAATTTTATAAGGTGGAGTCTTGATGGAGGAAGTAGATTACTGGGAAGTCCTTTCAAGGGTCCATTTTGTTCCTGACTCCTGGCTTCTGTCTCTCTTTCTCTTCCTCCTGTCCACTGTAAGATAAGCTGGTTTGCTCTGATTAGGCTGCCTGTCATGATTCTCTGCCTTACCACAGACCCAGAAGCAATGCAGGCAAGAGACCATGGACTAAAACCTTTACTTCAAGTTGTTTATCTCAGGTATTTTGTCACAGCAACAAAAGGCTGACAGACACAGTGTGGTTTGTGACTTTTAAGTATTTAGTCACTGGGTATGTAGGTCTCCTTTTATATTCTGACCCCAGACCTCACAAATTTTAGAGCAGGCCTACCTATAAGGTCTCAAATTTTAGGATGCTTCTTATGCCCTTTCATATCTGCATGTAAACTGGCCAGTTCTTGTCATCTTAAACTTTGTCATCATCCCAAATGGTAGGAGAGGGAGAGAGAAAAACGTGTTGAAGATTTCAGACCAGCCATTCAGTACTCTAGCCTAGTTAGTGACCACAAATGTCATTCCTAAAATACAACTAAGAATTAGTCATATAGCTTGACCCAGCCACAAGGGAACCCAAAAGAAGAGCTCAAAAGATTTGCTCAGCAGAATACAGTTGAGATACTATTTGTTCTTTCACAGATGAGGCAATGGGAGTTTAGATTTTGCAAACCAATTAAGGTTATCCAAGCAGCAGAGGTAGAATTTGAACACAGGCAGCTGGAGAGGCAAGCCAAACTTCTTACCCAAACCTCTGGGATGAAAAGAAATCTTGGGAAGCACTCTTGAACCTGTGCAAAATGTGGAACAGGGCTTCACATTGACCTCACATAATCCTCAAAGATACAAGACACCCTAGTGAGCATCTAAGAGTAAAATTTATAGTGTTCTGACTCTAGAACTCCATGCCAGTCAAGTAATCTCTTATATGTTAGTATAAAAGTTACTGAGGAGATGAAAATCCAAAAGCTCTGGAGGGGGTTCATTTCCTCAACTCTGAGCAAGAAGCCCAAATACCAGGTCTAAGTTAGCTGAGTAAAACAGGTTGCTACCAGGTGCTGCTCTACTGGAGGGTTTTTTCCTCTTTCTCTAAATCTCAGCGATGCTCTTCACCCAGGAAGCCCCACTGTTAGGTTTGAGTCTGGCTGTCCCCCAACTTCATTCGGTCAGAGATAGTTGAATCTGAAATGTGTGCTGCTGGGATTAAGGGCATGTGATTACTAAACCACTGCACCTGAGTGAGTGCTTTGGCACCGCCCTAATCCCTGGTTATCTAAACAAGATAAAAAGGGCAGAGAGAGCTGTTACACTCTCTTGTTTCCTTTGCTACCTTGTGCGCACCATGTTGTTTCTCCTCTGCAATGTCTGTTTGCCATCTCTGCCTTGGAACCACCCAATTATGGACTGAAACCTCTACGAACCATAAGCCAAAAACATCTTTTCCCTTTTATTTATTTATTTATTTATTCATTCATTCATTCATTCATTTTTTAATTCTTTTGGTACTGGGAATGGAACTAAGGACTGTGTGCTTGCCAGGCAGGCATGGCGCAACTGAGCTAAATCCTCAGCCCTCCCCTTTAACTTTTGGTGCCAGGTATTTTGCCTCAGGGAAGAGAGAAAACTAACACACCCACTGGTGTATCCATACCCTCCACCTTCCACACTCCCTCTACACCGGCAGGGCAGCCAGGGGCTTCCCTTCTGATACATAGTTCAAGGCCCTGTGCCCTGCCCACTAGTTTTTGTCAGTGGAATGTTTTAATTCTAAGTCATATGGCACCAGTGAACATATACCCATGCACTGCAAGACACACTTTTAATACCCATATGGGTATTACACATACGTCTTTTGTAAAAACAAACAAAAATCCGGGAAAAACAATTAGAATAAATAACCTTATGAAACAGGAAGATACATTATTGCAGAAAAGTTGGAAAATTTAAAACAAGTAAACTGTATAGTTGAATCTTATTGTTACAGTACAATATTTATGAGTTTAAGTGGAACTGTTCAAAGAAGACTTAAAATGAGGTGAGCAGAAAGTATAAAATTCTGGAACAAAAACTCAAAAATGCTGCAAACAAAACTTGAAGGGATGGTGTGGCATAGGGGAAGGCTAAAATTGTACTAAAAATCCCACTCTGTCCTGAGACGTGATAGGTGTCCCCGGTGTTCATTCTCCTTTAAATAACAGAGTTTTTAATGGTACTTGGTTACCAGCTTCAGGTAGGATCCACAAAGGAGGACAAAAATCATGCCATACTTAACAAAGAGACGGTAACATGGGAAATTTTGTTCTTTTTTTTTTTTTCTCTCTCTCTCTCTCTCTCTCTGTCTCTTTTCTCTCTTTTTTGTAGTACTGGGAATTGAACCCAGGGCCTTGTACATGCTGAGCAAGTACTGTGAAACAGCTACATTCCTAGCACATGCTTTTCATTTAGAGACAAGATTTCACTAACTTACCTAGACTGGCCCCAAACTTGCCATTCTGCTGCCTGAGCCTCCTGCGTAGCCAGAATTACAGGGGTGTGCCACTACACCTGGTGGGAACGAGGCTAATAGATGTGCAAAGACTGAAAACTCCAAGCAGGAACACTGAAGTAAAACTGAGGAAAGAACCGCAGGGAGGCGCTACCAGTTCTAGGGCTGGGGGACAGAGAGAAGCGCGAAGGTGATGGAACCTGGAACTCAAAGGAAGTGTCCTACAGAGCGGTGACTTGGTCTCAGACTTCGAAGAGGGGGCAACGGGGCCAGTTCTGCGAGTTCCAAAAGCAGTCGGAGACTGGAACCAACTGATGCTGCTGGAGCCTAAGACCCCAAGGTAAAGCCACAAGTATGGAAGAGGCATTCCCTTCTCTTGTGTGGTCCAGTTCTCTTCCAGTACCCCTGTTGGCAGAACATGTGACAACGTCAGCTGATGATAGAAATGTTTGTAGCTTTAATCCTAGAATCAAAAACCAGAATGTAGAGGAGAAAATGCATCTGAGAGACAGTAGTTTTAAATGGCACAACTGTACCAGGTGGGATGCACAAATACAAATACAATAATGTTTAATTGAAAAACTTTATTTTTGTAAAAGGTATGTCATTAATCTCAAAATACACACATACACACACACACACACACTTTGAACACATTTATCTCATCATGTTGGCCATTTACCTCAACATGTTGCTGAAGTAGTTCTGAAGTTCTCTTTCCTGAATGTCTTTAGTTGTGCTGTCATGGCCACCTCGGTGTCCTGAATTTAAATTCTGATTTAAATGGTTGAAAATTTAAGGCAGTGCAGAGGGGAAAAATAATAGTGGAAATCATGAAATTAAATGAAAGGAGGAAACAACACTAGAGCATAATAAAGATATAGTTGGATAAAAAAGCAACATCAAACCATATCTTTGTACAAGAGAGACATGCAAAACAAAAAGACAGTTGAAATAGATGAAAAAGATATCCTTGGGAAATGCAAACTATAAAACAGAGTAGAGCGACATTAACATCAGACAAAGTAGCTACAGTCTGAAGCCTAAAGTATTAAATGAGACAAAAAGTGGTAAAATCTATGAAAATATAAATAAGCCTTTTGTGTACGTCATACCATAACATCTTGTAACAAAGTGAAACATGGGCAAATTGGATCCTCAAGCTTCTAAATTCTTCGTGTGACTGAAAAAGAAACAGACTTATCTTGTCACATGGCACGATTTCAATTCAGCCTTTGGTGTTGCAAGACTTCTCTTATATTAGAGCAACCCAGATTCTGAGAAATAATAATTACTGGATGAGGATCCCTACGAGTCTTGAGAGCCTTGGAGAGGGGACTGGATTTCCCCTTGAAAGAGCTGACTCCTCCCACCACCAGTCCTCTTGGGAACAGTGCAGCCAGCACCCAGGAAAAGGTCTGGAGCTGGAATGAGTGACAGAGGCGTGAGGATGGCTAGGCTGGGGCTTGAGCTGTGGAGGCGCCTGGTGAGTCACTTGTGAGCCGAGGATGAGCACGGGCTACAGGTTAGGAGGCTTGGGAAGGTCTGAGCTTTTGCAGAGGTAAGGGTTTTCTTGTTATTGGTTTCTGTTGTTATTGTTGTTGTGGGAGTATTGCTCATTGATGAAGATTCGAATCATTCTTAGTTTTTGCTTTTTCTTTGTCCCCCATTATTCCAGGGCCTTCAGAAAAGTCTCACTGGGCCTTTTTAAATATTGCTACTGGTCTCAGCTGTGTCTCTTTGTACCTGGGGCAAAGGTGGTATAGGGAGGGCAGCCACAGGCTGAGAACACAGACCAGCAGCAGCAACTGAGGGGCCAGGGATGCTTATGGGGGCTTTGTGGCTTTCACTCCCACACCTCCCCACTTCAATTTGGACTCAATAATCAGAGGTGAGAGTTGGCCATGCCTGTGTGGTCAGGTCTGCATTCTCTGGTCACCTGTCCAAAGACAGCAGGTCCAGACCTCACCACTAGCCCACCTCCTGCTCCAAGAGAAAAGCGCCCAAGTTGAAGACCCACAACCCCTAGGCTAGGGCTCCTTCCGTGGCCAGATTTTGTTCTTTGGTCATTTTTCTAGAGGCTCTGTTAGTGTTAGTATTTACTCAGTGATTCGGAAGAGCTTTTATGCAAAGCAGCAGTGGGGTACATGGGAGGAGAAGCTCCACAAGACTTGCAGCCTCATCAAGGAAGTCCCGGTGGTAAATCATCAGTGCTCAGAGGCCGCTGATTTGTTTCTTGCTAACTCCTCCCAAACTGTCCGCTCCTCCAGCTTCTGCCCGCAGGACCTAGGCATATAATTTCAATTAGGTAAGGAGTTAGTACACATGCCGAGTACATTAGGCGATTCTACAGCTTTACTAATTCTGTTCATTTTCCCCAAGGCTCACGGTCTGAGGCAGTTTTGTCTCATGGAGTCCCCCAGAAGAGGGGACTGGCGGACTGGGGCTGAGCTGTCATGGGTGGACAGTCACAGACCGTGGGAACGTGGTACTGCGGAGCTGGGTGACGTGAGATGACAGAATGGACGGAGAATGTTCCACTGGGCAGAGGAACAGGTTTGTAGAGGCAGTGAATATGGCGGTAGGCTGGGTGGGATGCTATAGGGTCCCTGCCCTGTGTCACTCACACTGTTCAGCTGAGTCTCGGAGCATCAGAAAATGTTGAAGTGTTCAAAATTCTTAGGACAGAGGAGAAGGGATGGAGCTGACCCACAGGGGAACCAAGAAAACCTTGACTCTAAAGCAGAAGGAGAAGCAGGGCTATGTCATGGGTGGACATAGTGGGAAGGTTTTGAGCTCATCCAGATCCTGAAATTTGTGTTCAGATCAAAATGTCACCAAGATTTTGAGAGGAATACAAAGGCCCAAGTAATGACTAGCCTGTGGATGTTTCTCTCGTAGCCTGGAAATTAGCCTACTGCCTGGATCACTTGGACCCAGTAGGAAAAAGATGACACACTTGAATTAGCAAGTCTATCCATTGCATTTTTGTCTCTCCTACCCTCCCCTGCTTCCTTGGGCTTTGCACCATGAGTTCGAGCAGCACAAGCCACCCCTCCAAAGGCAGTCAGCAGATCCTGGCCTTCCCCACCTGCAGAATTCTGAGCCAAAATAAACATCTTTCCTTTATAAATTATCCAGTCTCAAGTAGCCTATTGCAGCAACAGAAAATAGACTAAGACAGTAGCAGAGTTAGATTTCAAATCCAGGCTGGACATACTGGGAAGGGAAGGATTTGCATTAATGCATAAAACCCTGTTTTGTACCTGTAATGAGATAAAATATATGTATTTTATTTAAGTAGCTTTTGGATTAACTGAGAATCCTTTCCTAAATGATTCATAATTAGACAACCTCACCCTGGATCCATCGTCGCACCACCCCTCCTGTTAGGAAAGGAGAGGTGTGCTCTTCTGTTGGAGCTCCCATCTGAGCCCTGGAATCCCACCTCAGGATGTCCTGCCACCTACCAGCTCCAGGTTCCTTTGCCTTCCTTTTTCCTCCCTACTGATGGTGTCTAACTTAATAAAATAAGATGGATCTCCCATCCTAGAAGAGAAACCTCAGACTTACTCTGTGACTCCTGCTAGTTTCAGCCCTTTCGCCTTCTTTACAGATAGCCTTCTTTTAAAAAAGTGGTCTAGGGCTGGGGATTTGGCTCAGTGGTGCTGCTGCCTGCCTTGCAAGCACAAGGTCCGACTTCAATCCCTGGTACCAAAAAGAAAAAAAGAAAACAAAAAAGTGGTCTGTACTTGCTATCCCCAGTTCTTTATCCACCATTCATTCATTCCTAACCTGAAGCAAACTGGACTCTGAAGCCATCTCTGCAGCATTTCTTCAAAAGTAGCCACTGTTAGCCGGGTGTGGTGGTGCACACCTGTAATCCTAGCACTCAGGAGGCTGAGGCAGGAGGATCGCTGTGAGTTCGAGACCAGACTGGGCTACATAGTGAGTTCCAGGTCAGTCTCAACTACACAGTGAGACTCTGTCTCAAAACAAACAAACAAAAAACAACAACAACAAAAAAGTAGCCATTGTTCCCTTACTGAAGTGATTTTGTACTTTGACTACTGTGGCATCACATTCATCTGTATTCCCAGCCACAGGATTCTGGTACTTTCTCCCTGGAAATTTAATCCACTCCCATGGCTTAAGAACTCAGTAGCCTACGACAGTCTACAAGCTGTTAGTGTTTGTAAAATATACAGTCATCTCACTGTGGTTCAGAATATGTAGTACATTCTTTGGATGGTTCATTCATCCTTCTTGCAGAATAGATCAAGAACTATGTGCTGTGCTCCACTGAGCACTTCCCACAAATTACCTCATTTAATCCTCACAACAAACTCGCAAAAAGGGCTCTGCTTATTTCTTCTATTTTGTAAATGAAAGCACTGAGCCTCTGAGAAAATAAGTAATTCTCCCAAAAACACAGAATTAAAAGTAAAACTGAGCTGGGTATTTAGCTTGGTGGCACCGCACCTGCCTCGCAAACGCAAGGTCCTCAGTTCGATCCCCGGTATCAAAAAAAGTAACGAAACTAGGATTCTGTAATGTGGTAAAGTTTTAATATTTAATTAAAGTATTAAGTTTCATTACTTCACCCTTCCATCCCAACTGTCAAATGGTAATAATTTCTAGGCACACTACCCACAGAGCAATGTTGGAAAATGTCTGAAAAAGAAGTTATTGCTCAGATTTGACCTTCATAACAGACATTTTAAAGCCCCCAATAGAAAAAGTAGTAATGAGAAGCCAGCTTTCAACTGAGCCTTTGAATAAGACAGAAGTTTTTTTTTACTGTGGACCGCTAAGAAGAGAAACTGCAGAAGGTGATATACAGGCCACACTTCCTGACTGGAGAGGTGCTTGCAGAGATCTGGAAGAAGGAGAGTATTGGACACACCTTGCCTTGTCCCTTGACACCACCCCGACTTGGGGCCAACATTCTGATGTAAGGATTGATGATGACCAGGAAAAACCAGCGCATGGCCCAGTCCCCTGTTTCCCAGTACCTGGCCAAAAAAAATTAAAAAATAAAAATAAAGCACGGCAAATGCCTGTAATTTTAGTTTTATAATCTCAGCTACTCAGGAGGCAAGTTTGAGGCCTGCCTAGAAAACTTAGTCTCAAAATTAAAAAAAATAAAATAAAATGGGCTGAGGATGTAGCTCAGCACTCCCTCCTTTCAATCCCAAGTACCCCCAAAGAGGAGGAAGGAGGGAAGAGGAGAAGAAAATAGAAGGGAAAAGGGGAAGAGGAGAGGGGAAAGACAGGGAAAGGAAAGGGAAGACAAGGTTGCAAACCTCCTAGAGATGCCATGTGTTTGGAGTGGTGTCAGAACCTAACCCCAGGAAGTGGGTCAGCTGCTGTGGAGAGGACTATGGAGGTTGAGCCCAGGGCCACATCTTCCAGAATGAGACAAGGAGGGCCACTAAAGGGCCTGCCCTCTACAGGAAGAGCACAAACGTGCTGAGAGACCTGGGAACCTGCAAGAGTTACCGGATCAGGATAACAGGGCCACAGGGAACCCATCTGGCTCACAGCCAGATGCTTGGGCTGGACCCAAGCCACGGCGACAGTGACAGGCCAGTCCTCATGCACAGAGGAAAAGGCCTCAGAGGATTCCAGCAAAGGCAGGATGACAGCTTGGGGACTGGGCCATCCTTCCCCAGCATCGTCACTGAGGTTCACCCTGAGCCAAAAATGTCACTTGGGAAGAACAGGATAGAATTGGGACAAATCCCCTGACAGAAAAAAATGTTTTTGCCAAAGAAACCCAGTAAACTTAGAAGACCTGAGGCTTGGAGAGAGGGACTTAGGAGATTCCAGGCACAGAACTGATGAGTCGTGGCACCCCCCACTACGTCACCTGTCTTCTAGAGCTTTGTGGCCCAGCTTCGTCCCTTAAGTGACCAGTACAGCAAGTGTAGGAGCCAGCTCTCCTGAGCGTATCCGGAGTGGGCCTCTTACTACTTTTTCCTTTTTCCTCACTTTACTCTTTCTTTGGAAGAATGGAGGGGTCAAGAAAACATTATGGATAATAAGAACTAAAGTTAGGTTTTATTTTCAAGTAAAAAAATTTTCTAAGAAAAATAGTAATGTAAATACTAAAAAGTAAGTAAAGAGCAATGAGTAAAATTAGTTTTATTGCAGTCTAGAAGCTAATTAAAGCCAAAGCACGGTGGCAGATGCCTGTAATTTCAGCACTCTGGGAAGCCGAGGAAGGAGGATCCTGAGTTAGAGGACAACCTGAGTTACTTAGCAAGCTTGAAGTTAACCTGAAATACAGTGAGACCCTATCTCCAAAACCAAACAAAACACACCAGTGCTTTAATTTGAAACATCAAGCATGAGAGTTTGTCTCTGCTGAACATTTCTAGGTGTACTCAAACAACCCAGGGTTAAAGTAGAAGGGACTAACTCCTCTTTGGGGGCCGCCAAGTTCTGCCCTAATGCACTAAATTCCTCTTCTAGCTTATGTTGTAAGAGTAGCCTTACTTAATTGTTCATCCATTGAGTAATTTGTGTCAGTGTATTCATCAAGATCCAAAGAAACCTTAGTGACTAGAATGCTATATTCACTGGTGTCTGAGCTGTGATGAGGAACGGACCTTTCAGGCAGGCAGTGCAGCACACACCATGATTGTCTACCCCTAGCATTCCCTCCCCTTTCGTCCACCCAGACCATCTTTCTTCAAGAGTCAAGCAGCTGGTGGTGCACGCCTGTAACCCCAGCACTCAGGAGGCTGAGGCAGGAGGATCGCTATGAGTTCGAGACCAACCAGGGCTACATAGTTCCAGGTCAGTCTCAACTACATAGTGAGACCCTGTCTCAACCCCCGCCCCACCAAAAGAGTCAGGCATACACATGCTCCAAGGAACACATCAGAACCAATCATTGTCATACCTGGGCCTTGCCAGGGATTCGTTTAGTCATGGGCTAAACTAAATCCTACCAAATAATACATAAAATAAGGCTGCCACAGAGGTCCTGAAAGTATTTTGTGATGGCAGCTATGAGGCTGTATCTTGTATATTTGTTTTCTGGGGTTGCCATAACAAAAGCCTACGTGCTAGGTAGATTAAACAACAGGACTTTCTTGTCTCACACTGATGGAGGCTTGACGTCTAAAATCTAGGTGTTGGCAGTCGGTTCGTTCTGAGGCTATGAAAGAAGAATTTGTCCTCAGCTCTCTCTTTGGCTTGTGGATGGTCATCTTCAAGTTCATATGGTGTGCTCCCTGAATGCAAGGTCTTTTGAACTGAATTAGGGCCTACCCTAATGGTCTCATTTTTGCTTGATTACCCCTGTAGAGACCCTATCTCAAAATAAACTCATGTAATTCAACAGATGAGTTTGAGGGGAACACAGTAGAAACCATAGTTATATTTCTTCTAGCCTTTAGGCAAGGTTGAGTCTGGATACACTAGGTTTCCTTGTCTTTTTACTATGACCCTGGTAGGACTGGAGGTCTTTCCTGTGTCTCTGACCCAGAAGTAGGCTGATAACAGAAGAATTTACCGCCATTCTGAGAGTTCATCCTGCCCTTCCATGGCCACCTTCATGGAAAACTGCTTCATTCTGGAACCTTTATGTCTAAACATACCTCTCTCTGGCCCTAGACTCGTCTTATACCCACACTTTGCTTCAGTCACCTCAGACACAGGTGTCCCCTTATTTCCTGTAGTTCTTCTCTGCCTCTGTTATCTTCTTTATCCAACTAAGAGGTCGTGGCACACCATTTAAGCACCCCCTCCCATAATTCTAACCTCATGTGCCTTGTTAAACTTTCACTGCAACTGCCTGGGAGAACCCTGACCCTTCATTCCATTTGCCTGTTTAAGTCCAGCCTCAAGGGCACAACACGAAGACCCACATGCAAAGAAGGTTAGTGCTCTTTTGACTTCGTGAACATCAGGGTTAACAGACCACTCAATGACTTCTTCCATCTTTTGTCCTATAATTATTTAAATCATTCCTGTTCTTTCTTTGTGTGAACAAAAGCACCCTCTAGTGTCTCTGTCTAGGTACCGTCCTGTTTACTTTGCTCCTTCTTAGTAAAAGTCTTAAAGTGATCTACTTTTATTTTCTCCCATTTGCCTCCCTTTTTTTCATGAAGCCACTCCATTGTGGCCATTTCTCAACACTTACTGATCCTGCCATTGCCAAGATTTCCAACAGCCTTTATGTGGCCAAACTTAATGAACATTTTCCTTTCTTTATTGCAAGTGGCATACTGGGACCATTGCATACTGCTGGCCCTCACTTCCTCAGACAGCCTCTTCGTCCGACTTCCAGGTCACTATAGTCCCCTTGTTTTCTTGCCTCTCTGGTCGCTATGGCAGCCTTTTATTCTGTATTCCCCAACTCACTCTTCTCAGCTCCTTTTTTTCTACCCTAGGCACTCCCTGGATGATCATTCCTGCTCCCAATGGCTCACATGACATCTACTCAAGATGCCCCCTGCATCTGGATTTCTTTCCTGAATCTCTCTCCCGAGCTCCAGACCCAGATGTGCAACAGCTTGAGGAACATCTCCACTTGAGTG